AAGCACAAGCAGAACATATTACTTGCATGTTCTGTCAATTTCAGATTGAAGTTGACCATAAACCTTGTCAGCCTCTTCTGCAATAGTGATTAGAGCATAAACATGCCCAACCTGTCACATCAACAGGTTGTCTGAAAAACCTAACTGATTTTATTCTATCATTTATTACTGTACCCAAATATTGTTTTTCTTTATCTTTTATAACTTTGAAAACAGTGCAATTACTTCTTTGCTTATTATCTTTTGAATAATAAGCATCATCTAACTTAAAGTGTTCCATTTCAGACCATTTCAGTTCTCTGATGCAAAGATGTCAAAGTGTAGTAAATTCATTTCGTCTTTCACTGTGTTGACTTTTCCTGTCTTTAAGCTGCTCACATTCCATACAGTACTTCTATATTTACAGCTTCAGATTTTATTCTCTTTAACTTGCTATCTGGAAAGTCACACTATAAACAATTCTGAAAAGTTCTCAGCTCTTTTTAGTAGCATACCTACTGCCATCTGACCTGAAAGGCCCATTGTCCAACATTATATTGTCAATAGCTTTATCTTTTTTCCCATGTAGTTTTACCATTGTGTTTTTCCTGACAAATAGAGAATTATGCCTTTGCCATTGTCAGTAAAATGGTCTTTATCACTATATCTCCCACACCATCATCATCATCATCATCACACTGCAACGTAATATAGATATCTGCTTCTTTTAGCTGGTGTCAGCCTTCCAAGTAGGCCAGATCATGAAATGGACAAGAAATATTGGGACTCTGCTTTGTTGTTATAATAACAGAATCTTGAAAGCCTGCAGCATTTTTCCTTCCTTGATCCAGAATCAAGGCATCATTTCTTCAGATTTCTGAGTATCACTTACTTTCCTTCCCAGGGTTGATTCATGTTTTTCTGTATCATATTGTTACTTCAAAGTCATCTCTATAGTCTTCTATAGTCTTGACCCAAGTAATTCGAGGCCCAACCCATTCGGCGGGACACATGCTTGACCTTGTATTTCTCTCGGAGCAGTGGATTTG